GCCCAAGTGCCAGGATCTGCCTCCCACATCCCTCAGGCCCCTCCCCCAGCTATCTCTGCCCCGCCCCTCAGGGAATCAGGTCCCGGCCACACCCCCAGCGCGCTTCCCACTTGCCCCCTCCCGAGTTGGAGCGGGGGCCGCGTGCGCCTCACGGTGGGTGGTTCCACCCCCCAGCGCGCCTGGTTCGGCCCCGCCCCCGGCCTGCTGGGGAATAACGGCGGCGGCAGCGTCACCTCCATTTCCTCCAGGGGAGCGGCCGTAGAGCGGTGTGTGGGGGGAGGGGTGATGAGGGGCATGGCTTTGGGTAAGGGGCGGGGGAGCGGCATGGCTGTGGGGAGGGGCAATGGGTGGCGAAGGGGAGGACTCTGGGGAAGGGATGATGTGTGGGGGCGGGGCAGGGCTCTGGGGAGTGGGAGGGGTGATGATAGGTGAGTCGTAGTTATGGGGAGGGGTGATGAGTGATTTGGGGGGAGGAGAAGGCGGGGGGGGGGTCGGAGAAACGTGTGGGGGAGGGGGTCGTAAGGGATTATAGGATGCAAGGAGCGTCATTGTCAGCTAGACTGGTCCAGAGAGAGGCTGACAGTAACTCTTCTTTCACAGTTGCTGCCTCTTCGTCCATGGTTTGGGATGCTCCAGGCCATGGTGCAAGCAGCTGTAGTGTAGATAATACAAAGTAATAATTACACTGCAGAGCCCATGAATTATAATAATTAACATAGGTAAGGGGCATCTGGAGTGAAGAGAGTAAGGAGAAATAAAATAAGCTTCCCTCCCCAGATTCAGACTGAAATCTACCTACTCCTCCTCTAGGAAAAGAAACAAATCGATCATTTAGCAAACAGGAGAAAAGAACAAATTGTATGTAAGAGTCTCACATTCTCCATATTTTTCTGATGAAGAGTGTTCTCAAATTAACCAAAGATAAATGAATTTTCTGTGAGCAAATTAGATTAGGTAGGTGGCTTGATTTACTGATTGTTCTGGTGCAAAGATCCCTTAACAAATCCCTTGGAGGTACAGTTAGGTCCAAGTATCCCAGAGGTGACCTATCTGCCTCTGAAAGGAATAAGGTGAGGGAAAGGTTAAAAAAAGCTCAAATGGGTTATGAAATTAATTCAATCTGCTTCCTGAATAGGCAGCTTTCTGTAGTTCGTTTCAGGTTCTTATGGTTTTTGTCTTGAATATAACTGATAGCTACAATATGAAAGTATGACTTGTGAATAGTATTATCTCATAAAAGTCAAAGATAGCAAAATACTGAAGAGACTTAAGCCATTGGCATATCAAATATAGAGGAAATAAAGGTAAAAATGTATGGGAATCTAAAGGAGGTACTTCTTGCAAGAGACTTCACAAGGGGCACTCGTTTGCAATTTTCTTAGTTCTCAAGATCTGTCTGTGGAAGTCAGGCTTTTTCAACTACCCCAAAATGCCTTTCAAATGGGAAGATCTACATTTTCAGGGTAGGTTCATTTCAACAGGTCTTAAGCTACCAGCCTGATTCTTTTTCTCTGTTTCTGCCCCCACTTTATCCTCTTATTCTGTTTTTCCTTCCTTCCCTTCTTTATTTTTTTCTTTCTTTCCTTTCTGTTTTCCCATCCAGCTTTGATACAAAAACACAGTCTTACTGCAGCATTGCATATCTTGTAAAATTAGCTACTATATTTAAAATGTACCCCAAGTATGGCCTGATTCAGTTTCCATTGAAGTGAATGGAAAGAATCCTATTGACTTCAGCAGACTTTGAATCAAGTGTTTAATAAGCAATTACTACAATCGCTGGTTTCAGAGTGGTAGCCTGTTAGTCTGTATCAGCAAAAAGAACAATGAGTACTTGTGGCTCTAAGTCTCTAAGGTGCCACAAGTACTCCTCGTTCTTTTTGCATTTTAACTGCTACTTCCTGCAGGCTAGATAAGAAGCAAAAATGTTACCTCTGAAGTCCCTGGAACTGCTGGGGCATCTTCTCCTGGCTTCCCCCCAGTCTGGAGTGATGCAGAGAGAATTCTTTGGAGACTTTGCTTTAATTTCCATCCTCTTCAGCTGCAGTTCTAAAAGTGGTTTGTACTCTTAAAAGTGACTTTGTAAAAATGGCATCATGGGGTTTCACATATATTATATCAATATTTTCATATTAAATTTTCTCAGTTTACAATTTGAGTTTTTTCTAACTGCCAACTATGCAAACTCAGCATATGATCTGAAAATCAAGCTACATGCCTTCTGCCTTTTGAATCACCACTATTAATACAAATTCTGGCAGGCCAAATGCTGCCCTTACTTACACCTGTACAGCCTGTTTGCCCAAGTGTACCTATTGAATCCTGGTAGTGGGTGGGCGCAAGCCTGCCCCTGTCTATGGGCCCTTCCCCTAGCCTAGGAGCTACTGAATCGGAGTTCAACCTGAGTACATAATTTGAAGGCATTTGGATTGCACAAGCAGCCTTGAAAATGGAGCCTAATTAGCAAGAGTAATAAAAAATATTTTTTTCAACAATAGACATAGTTGTGACTGAATATTCACAAAGATCAGATCTGTTAAGTAAGGACCTGAAGCTGCATCCATTGATTTGAGAGATTCAGGATTAGGCCATAAGAGAGTAGAGTTTTTACAGTTATTTTCAGGATAGAACCACACTTGGAGAGTTTCTTCTGCTTCCTTTGTATTCCTCTTGGCATTCAGTTTAGTCAGAGGAGCAATAAAGAAAGCACCCGGAGCTAAATCCACAAAAGGACTTAGGTGCTTAACTCCCACTGTACATGCTTAAAGCCAACATTTAGGTGCTACTGAGCTCCTCAGAACCATGGCTCAACTGTCACCTAAATTCCCTAGGTTTCCCTAACTTTCTGCTGGTGGGAATGTGCAAAACTGCCTAATTCCTGATGCTGCTGAGCTGCTCAGACCTAAACTCTGTCAGGATTCTCAGATTAGGCTATTCCCCCCTGCCAACTGATCAGGATGCTCTGAGCATGTCTAACCTGCACGAGACAGCTGGGGGCAAGCAGATCAGGAATTTTTGGGGCTAGCTGAGGTATGAGTTGTAGTAGCCACACTCACCTGGAGTGTGAGAGACTCTGCCTGATTTGGAGCAGGGAATTGAACTGAGGTCTCCACTCCCAACTGAGTGCTTTAATCACCAGCCTAATGGGTATTCCTGGGTGGGTCTCTTTCAATTCCCTCCTGTTGGAGCTGTGCCGCTTTGTAAAACAAATTAAGCGTTGGGCCCCAGAGAGAGTGAGAATGTCTCTCCACAGAGTATGACTTCCTCTTCTTTCAGGAGACACCACTGCATACCCTTGAGCTTGCAATTTCACTTCAAATCAGGCAGAATGGGGATTTGAAAATAGGTCTCTCTTATCCCAGCGGAGTGCCTTAACCAATTGGCTGGAATGTGGTGGTGCTCTCTTTTTATTTGTGTGAGAAAAATTGAGCTGGCTTCGGTGCCTAACACCCAGGAAGGATTCATGGCTTTGAATCCCAAGCAGAGGGAATAGGGTGACCAGATGTCCCGATTTTATAGGGACAGTCCCAATTTTTGGGTCTTTATCTTTTACAGACTCCTATTACCCCCCCACCCCCGTCCCGATTTTTCACATTTGCTGTCTGGTCACCCTAAGAGAGAAGTACCTACCTAAACCCTAAAGTTAAGCACCTAGCTACCTTTGAAGGGAGGGGGTTTAGTCCTCACTCCTTTCCTCAACATTTCCCACTGGCTAACGTAGGCACCTAACTTTCCCCATGCATTATATAGAGAGCCTACATGCCTCACTTGGGGCTGTGAATTGCATTGGGCAATGCCTTAGACTCTGTGGATCTAGCCTCTAAAAACTCCCTGCCCTGCTTCAAAGTGCCATTGGTTCCTTTTGATGGATGCAGCAGTAGCAGAGCTTAGCCCTACACTAACTCAGTGAGAGCACCAGTAGTTTAGGAGGTGGTGTTATAGAAGTTGCAGCAATTGTAATTATATAAACCCAGGAAATTGAGACTTAAGGTTAAACTTACATTAAGGTATAGAAATGTACGAGAGCACCTAACAAACCTTGACTCTGCTCTATAGTGATGTCATGAAATAATCATATTATGATTAAGAAATTTTAGTGTGTGATTTTTAGACATAGTAGATTTTTTTCTATTTCTCATTGTCATCATGACAAGATATTTCTATAGTAACAGACATTTTGTTTTTGTACAGTATTATAAATCTATTTAATTTTCTTTTGTGTTGTACATTTTTAATCAAACTACTTTTTAAGACTAAAATAATGTATTTTATATAGGTTGTAATTTCCTGTCATGATTAAAGGGAGAAGGATACGTACTGTGCTGCATCATGCCATGCACAGATTGGAGAAAGATGATAATGCTGATAATCTCCGGAAAGAGTCGTCATTTTTCTATCCTCCCCCAGATGGGGGTTGGGGTTGGGTTGTGGTGCTGGCTGCATGTACTCACTCTTTGCTTGTCAGTGGATTCCACAATGCTTTTGGTGTGTACATGATTTCCTTACTTGAGACTTTCCAGTCAAGTAGGTCACGAACAGGTAGGTCATCCATGTATAATGTGAAACCAAGGCTTGATGTTTCTGTGCAGGTAGCTCAAAACTAAATCAATCTTTTTTGATACCATATCATGTTGAAAACTCACCTAATTTACTGTCTGCTGTTACCACTAAAGTGATCATCTTTAAAAAAAGAATAATCACCTTTTGTCATATTGTGGTGTTTGAATTCACCATGATATTTGTGGTATTTAATATAGAAAGTTAAATACAGTGACATATGAAGATTTTTTTTTCATTGAATACCACTTTAGGTCTCCTATGAAATTACTGCTTTCCGGTTTTCTTCTTCTCATTGAATATGTATGTTTCAAATTATTTTTCCCAAATGTGTTACATTTTGCAAGCTGAATTTTATTTTACAATTTTCTGTTAATCTTTGGTAACCACTTTTGGTCCCCCACTGTATCGTTTCTCTGTCCACATTGGTATTTGGAATGTCTCCTAATGTAGTACCACCTACACATTTCATTAAGGTGTTATTTACGCTCACTTCTATATTATTAATGAAGATATCAATTAAGCCTGACTCTAATGTCAACCCTGGCAGCAGCCAACTACACACCTGCCTCCCTAAATGGGTAAATTGCTATATTACCTTTTGATCTGTTCACAGTACTTCAGATGATTACCAGCCTATGGACCAGTGTCTGTCCTAGGCTTAGATCGTTTTATCACAGGATTGGGTGGTCATTAAGGGTCTGATGGCAGCTCTTTATTCTCAAGTGTCAGTTTCTATGATCCCCAATGCAAGTTAGAGTAGCCTAGGGACAATTTTGTGCTGGGCAGCTGTGATTAGATTCTGATCAGAAAGGGTAGCATAAAGTGACTGGAACTTGGGGAGAGATCAAGTCGCTATGTGTTAGTGCTCATAGCTGAGCCAGTATACATTACATTTTTAATTAGGATTTCATAAGACCCTAAAATCCAAATACACTATATTCTCTTTTCTATTCATCCACTTGTTTTACTATCTTATTAAAATCAGTTAGATTTGTAAGTTTGTCTGGGTGTTATAAACTCATACTGTTTATTGCTCAAGGGTCTGTTACTCTCTGGGGCCAGATTGTGCTTAACCCCTGGCCCTGGGCAGGTGCACAAGGGAGGAATAGGGCACAAGGAAGGCCAGCCCCCTCACCCTTATGTCCTCTATGCAGGGGCAAGACACAATGGTACACCTAGTGCAGGTGTTACCTGCTCCTCACCTCAGCGGGCTCCTAGAAAAAAGCATGTAGGGCTTGATCCTGCTCTCATTGAAAGTCAATGATAAAACAACTTCCCTGGGGCAGGATCAAACACCTATAGAGGGGTCAATCCAGTGGTGTCCCATATAGCCCCAACCAATGTTTAACTTGTGGGAATCGTGTAAAAATGAATGATATAACTTCGTTAGAACTTTTTGGTGACTTCTAAATTTAAAATTTAAATGATTGAAAGTTTAATAATGTTCACATTATGGTATTCAATTTTTATCTTATTACAAAAATAAAGAGAAATTTGTGATCAATATACTGCATTATAAATACAGGGGGGTTTTGTTATTACATTTACATAGTGCTAAGTAGTTAATATTCTGGGTGCCTGATAATTTACAACTTCTCACCTTGGGTCACTCAGCCCAAAACAGGTGTGCAGGTAGGCACAAAAGACTACGTGGTATTTGGGAGTTGCTGAAAGTAAGGAAATGTAGAGGGAAGAACATGAAAAATGCAGAAAGAGAGGAGAGGGGAAGAAAGGAAAATGGGGAAGGAAGAAAAACAAAGGGTAGAAGTAGTGGTGACCTGAAAAGGGAACATATTTTCACAGTGGTGGGATTGAGGGTAGCATATAGTCTACATTTATATCCTGGCCGCTACTGCCTATAACTGCAAGTAAAATTTGTTTCTCTGCCTTGAATGAGTTTCATGCCTCTGGTGTAATGTCTCTGATTTTTTACTAGAAGTACAAAGTAAATACTGAATTATTAATTTGCTATATTTGTAAAGTTAGTTTAACACAATGTAATTTAATACATTTTCCCTTTGTGAAAGATTTTAAAAGCTGTGATTTAAGCCACCTTGAGCTACTTCTGCTATTATTTCTGAAATTGCTTTTAAATGTTAATAACATGCACTGGTATAATAATTAGAAATTTTAAACAGAACCTTGTGAAGTGCTGAGGCTGCAGTGAAAGTAGAGGGCACTTAGTACCCACAGTATCCAGTATTTGATGATAGAAGTACAAGTATATCTTGGAAGTAGTAAGTATGTACATCCTCAACTGGTAAAAATGTCAGCATACATCCATTGACTATGACAACTGACAGAGGTGGAGTATCTGGCACTTAATCTGATGTCATTGTTACGGTTTTATTTAATGCATTTAATTGCAAAAGTGTATTTTTCTTTTTCAGCCTGGATTGGATCAGTCAGTTATGGTTTCATTATGATTTTTGGTCCCGTTTCTGGAAAACTTTTGCAGAAATATGGAGCCATCAAAGTAGCAATATTTGGAGCTCTAGTTGTCATGTTAGGTGTTGTTTGTTCCTCTTATGCTGGTGATATACGTGTTCTGTTTTTAACCCATGGAATCCTAGTAGGTGTAGGATCAAGTTTCGCTTCTACTCCAGGTAACTTGATTTTATTTATTTACCAGTAGACCAGGATCTTAGGCAAAAATGTAGCAAGCTACACACAAAATAATTTTAAAAAATTAACGAATATCAGTGTTTTGTTTGTTTTTAAGTTCCTCCTTCCATTGCTTAAATAAAAAGTGGAGGATAAAGTTGCATGACCTAATGAAGAAAACACATTCTTCATTCAAAAATATGAATTGGATGCATGCATCTTGCATTTGTGATGGGCAATACAGTTCTTAAGATATTTCTTTTTTCCATTCAAAAATAATAATGATCATTATATGTGTGCAAGAGAAATTATAATAAACAAAAATTTTTTTGAAAAGCTTTGGGAACTAGATGATTTATGGGATTAATAATGAAATAAAAGTCTTTTCTATCTATTCTGCTATTTCAAATTTGATCCATATTAATATTGATAAAAATCATTAACATTTTACAGTTTTGTGCAGGTTTATGTGAAATGTATTGATATTGTCAGACCATCTACGTGTGTGTGTGTGTGTGCGCGCGCGCGTAGGATAGCTCCCTTTTATGGACAGCCAGCCAGTAGCTATAAAATCCCTCTTACTAGCTGTTCTCTAATTGCTCTACCTGTAAAGGGTTAAAAAGTCTCAGTGCTATGCATAGGTAAAAGGAAGTGAGTGGGCACTTCCAATGGGAAGGCTAGAACTTTTTAAAATTAAGAAAAAACTCCCCTTTTGTCTGTCTGTCGGGTTGTTCTCCCAGAGAGAGGTGGACAGGGCTGCAGCTATGCTGTAAGAAGCTTGGGCCAGGTATGAAAAAATCATCAGTATCATACCTAGAAACTTCTCATTTAAAAGCCCAGATATGTAAGTAGTTCAGGAAATGTCTAGGAAGACACGATTAGGTTTCTCTCTTTTATTTCTTTATGGCTTGTGGATTCCTCTGTGCTAATCCCAGGTGCTTTTGTTTTGCTTGTAACCTTTAAGCTAGACCTCAAGAAAGCTATTCTTGGTGCTTAATCCTTGTAGTTGCTCTTTTAAAATCTAGCAATAGCCTGAGTTCCCAGATGTATTTTCTTTCTTTTTTTAAAATAAAATGTACCTTTTTTAAGAACAGAATTGAATTTTTGTGTTGTAAGAGGTTTGTGCACATGTTGGTTAATTAGCTGGTGGCAACAGCTGACTTCCGTTTTTTTCTTTCTCAGCTCTTCCCCGGGGCGGGGGAGGGGGTTAAAGGGCTTGAGGGTACCCCACAGGAAGGAATTCCCAAGTGCACCTTCCTGGGCTCTCAAAGTGGTTCTGCATTTGGATTGTGGCAGCATCTACCAATCCAAGGTCAGAAAAAAGCTGTAACCTTAGGAGTTTAATACAAGCCAGTATTAATTTTTAGAATCCTTGCGGTCCCCCACCTTCTGCACTCAAAGTGCCAGAGTGGGTAATTAGCCTTGACAGTATGTATCCCAGGTGTCCACTTCACAAGCACTGACACTGATTGGCATGCTTTTTGGTAGTCTCAGCAGAGAGGCAAATAATGGAATTGGATTAGAGGCTGAATGACCTCACTCACCTATGTAGATGGTCTTTCAAAGGCAGGGTTGAAGCACATTGATTGGGCAGTATGGTGAAAATATTATTCCTGCTGTACCAGCTCTGTGGATAGAGGACTTCCTTTGTAATGTTAATTAAGCATAAGCACTCATTTTGTTTTACAAGTGAAAAAGATTACAAATGTCATGGACTTTTCACAAAGAGCATTAGTATTTTTAAATGGAAAAAAATCTATTCAGGAAACAAATATATTTCCTGTTGAATTTTCAATATTGTTTCCTGTTCTAGACTTAATTAGGTTGCATATAGTTGCCAGCATGCAAAACATTCTAATAGATGAAGCTCTGTACAAAATAAGGTTGTCAGCCCTCTAGGCAGTAGAGTGTTTTGTGTGTATTTTGATGAATTTTTAGGTGGCAGTAGTTCTCAACCTTTCCAGACTACTGTACCCGTTTCAGGAGTCTGATTTGTCTTGTGTACCCCCAGGTTACACTTCACTTAAAAACTACTTGTTTACAAAATCAGACATAAAAATACAAAAGTGTCACAGAACACTATTACTGAACAATTGCTGACTTTTTCATTTTATCTTTATGAAATTTTAGTTTGTACTGACTTCGCTAGTGCCTTTTATGTAGCCTGTTGTGAAACTAGCAAATATCTAGATGAGTTGATGTACCCCCTGGAAGAACTCTGCATACCCCCAGGGGTACATGTACCCCTGGTTGAGAACCACTGACCTAGAGGACTAAACTAAAAAATCCACTAAATCCCATATTGTCTACCATATATATTGTATCGTGATGTTGTAACAGTACACACTGATGTTTCATCATAATGACATTGCAAAAACATAGGAAAGCCACTATTACAATTGTAAAATCACTGTACGTACAAAACTAATGGTAAGAGAATGCCAAATGTTTGGAGTTTGGTGTTGATTCTGAGAAACATCCTAAAGTTCTAATGCTTATCTGGGCATATGGAGCCTTGCTTCAGATGTCATTGTATCCCTCTCCACAAACTGCTCTTGGGCCTCTTCTGTTCATATATTTTAAGCCCAAAGGGACCAATACAATCAGTTAGTCTGATCTCTGTGTAGCACAGGCTTCAACCAGTAATTCCTGTATTGATCCCAACTTGTGGTTGAAATAGAGCATTCTGTGTGAGGTTCCCCCTCACTGTCTCAGCCAAGATGCCCCGTCCCTCCCTGTCCTCTCCTTCTGAGAGGGTTGTTGCTTCTATTGCCCTTGACGAGAGTGAAGAGGATAGGGAATAGCTGAATTTAATTTTTTTTTAATGTAAAACAATTTTTTCCTTTTCAACTTTTCACATTTTTATTTGTTTTTGATAGGCTTGATAATGGTGAGCCTTTACTTCACCACAAAGCGTTCCTTTGCAACTGGGATTGTGATGGCTGGTGGGGCAGCAGGAACTCTGGTACAGAATCAGGTGCATCGATACCTAATCAAGGCATTTGGATGGAGAACTAGTCTGCGTGTGTATTGTGGAATTCTAACAATATGTATTTTTGCTGGGTTTGCATACAGACCACTTGAAAAACGTATGTCACTCTTTTTGAAATTTTGTTAAAAATTAGATTAGTTTTTGTTATTCCTGCGTTTCTGTTATAAAAACACAAAATTCTTCATCAACTGATATGCTTTCTAACTAGGGTAATTCTGGAAAATATGAAACAGAGGATATAATCTTGTGAAACAGAAAAAGTACTAACACTGGGCAAATCTTGAGGTCCTTGCTCATTTTTCACCCACTGTCTACTTAGGTTGACTCCAACAGAAGTCATAATTTTGGTGTTCAGATTTTAAAAACTGGATAGTAACAATACAACAGTCAGAACTAAAATATGTTGGGGCTTCACATTTTTTCATGGAAATTCTCTTCATTTAATTGTGATACCATAGGAAATGTGAGATTCCTCTTATGTTTTCTCTTCAAGCAAGCAGCTCCCAACCAAGATACATACATTTGAAAAACTGCCAAAGATCATGCAAATCTCAGATTGGCCTATTCAGTCACATGAGACATTGCAAAGCATCTACAGCATAGGCTGCAGTTTCCACCGTCTCTCGCAGACGAAAGGAGGCCAGCAACTTATGTTTTGCAGATCAGCAGTCTATGAGGGCAGTTATGCTTTCAGTTTGGATTGCTTTACACAAGTATTTTCACTCTAGGATCCATAATGTTATAACTTGCTTAACTTTTATGATAAATTTCTTGATTGTTGGATGTTACTTGAATTATATTTGAATGTTATTGACTCTTCAGACTATTCAAGTGGTTAAAAAAGAGGCTTTCAAACTGTGGTCTGTTGCTCTTGTTCTCCATCTCACATGTGGTTCATAAAGAGTTTCTGGGTTTGTGGTTGGTTTTCTTTAACAGTTTAAACTTAGATTTTTCAAAGCAACCTAATATAGTATCTCAATCCCATTGAAATTCAGTAGGATTTGGGTATCTAAACCCCTTAGGCTCCTCTGAAAATACCAGGCTAAATTAAAAAAAATTAAATTAGACATTCAAATAGAAACTTAAGTCTGAAAGAAACATCCATAGTTGTAGCGAGCAAAAGAGGGAGAAAGAAAATTCAGAGCTGGGATGCTTTCAGATTTAGCTTAAATATATAAAGCAAAATTGAAAGCTAATGAGTTTCCAGTATTAGCTCTTTAATTGTAATAGAGAGATGGTAGCTGCTCTATTAAAATAGTTAAAATGATCTTTCCCTTATAATTCCAATTTTCATTGTCCAAATTCCTCTAAAAGAAAACAGTTTCCCTGAAATTTCACATGCCACATCTGCCAGGTTTCTGGGATGTTGGGAAAAACTCAGAAAAACTTTTGAAATTATGGTATTTTAAAACTTTCCCTGCCATTGAGATTTTGGAAAAAATCCCAACTTTATTTGAGTCATCATATTGCCATAATCTTTGTTTTGTTTTTATGTTTGACATTCTGAAAAATGTGTGTTTGGATCGGTTAATGGGACAGTTGCAAAGATGTATACTGTATGCAGGGAAGGTGCTAACTAGAAGCTCATTAGAGCAGGGATAACAATTAGTAGTTCAGGAACACTCTCTGTAACTCTGCACGGTCCAGCCAGGACACAAAATCAAGAAGCTGGTACAGGTCCTCACTCAGTCAGCAACAAGGAACTGGATAACTGATTATCTTTCTGTATTGCTTACAAGACACTTGTAATTAAGGACTATTTGCTTTCTTCCCTAGCTAAGCAAAACAGCCTTTATGTACTGTTTTGCTTTATTTTTGCATAAGGATGAAGACAGCCCTTATGAGATGGTATATTGGGCCAGATTAGAGAAATGGTCTACATAGAGGCACCTGTGCTTTCAAGTGCCAGGATATAGGTTGTTTTTTTTCTTGTTTCTTCACTTCTCTTGTTACTTGCAGCTCTAGCAAGGCCATATTTATTCAAAGCTGTTTTCACATGTATGTTGAACAACTTTTAAAATGATTTAAAATGTTTACAAATATAAACTGACTTGATGCTGACTCCAGATTGTGCTGTTGCATCTGCTGAACTGAGTGAGGGGTATGGAGGGTAACAATCCAGGTGGGGAAATTAAGAGGAACTTGGAACTGGGAGGAATTGTGGGTTAGGAGGCTGGGGGAACACATGAAGATGGTAGAGAGCAATGCTCCCCATTTTAGAGTAAGGAGTAAATTTCAGTTTTCTACTCCCATCCTCTTTGGCCACTTAGCGACTAGGGGAAAATGCAGGATTTGCACATAGAGCTTAAATTTATAATCAGCTGCTCAAATGCAAAATGGGAAATGACTGCCTAGGAAGGAGTACTGCAGAAAAGAATCTGGGAGTTACAGTGAACCAGAAACTAAATATGAGTCAGCAGTGTTATACTGTTGAAAAAAAGTGAACATCGTTCTGGGATATATTAGCAGGAGTGCAAAGCCAGACATGAGAAGTAATTCTTCCACCCTACTCAGCACTGTTAAGGCCTCAGCAGCAAGTATTGTGTCCAGTTCTGGGCACCACCCTTTGGGAAAGATATGAACAAACTGGGGACAGTCCAGATGGAAAGCAACAAAAATGATTAAAGATCTAGAAAGCATGACCTATAAGGAAAGATTTGTTTAATTTGGAGAAGAGAAGACTGAGGGAGGGGACATGATAATAGTCTTCAAGTATGTAAAACATCAAGAGGAGAATGATACATTTTTCTCCTTAACCACTGAGGAAAAGACAAGAAGTAATGGGCTTAAACTGCAGCAAGGGAGATATAGATTAGATAATTAGGAAAAATTTCCCAACTGTAATGGTAGTTAAACAGTGGAACAAATTACCCAGGGAGGTTGTGGAATCATTGTCATTGGAAGTTTTTAAGAACAGGTTCGACAAACACTGTCAGGGATGGTCTAGATCGGTGGTTCTCAACCCACAGGCTGCATGCGGCCCAATTAGCACACATCTGCGGCCCAGCTGTGTGCTAAAGGCTGTAAGGCCCATGTGGTAGGGTCCGAGCTGCCAGGCTTCCCTGCCGGTGCGACGAGGTCTGGGTCCAGGGTCCTGGCTGCCCTGCTGCCTGGCCTGGCATGGTCCGGGTGCTGCCGAGCTGCCCTGCCCCGTGCAGCGGGGTCCAGGGTTGCCAAGCTGCCCTGCCCGGCGCGGCGTGCCGGGATCTGGGGCCACCAGGGCTGCCCTGCCACCCAGCCCCGCAGTGGGGTCTGCTCCTGGCCCCACTCTGTGGAGGGGGTCTCTGGGCAGGGGGGCTGGGGTGCTGGGCATAGGGGTCTGTGAGGAGTTGGGGGGGCTTCTGTGGTTCTCAATGTGTGGCCCAGGTAACACATTGTGAGCCACATATGCAGCTCACAATAATAAATAGGTTGAGAACCACTGGCCTAGATAGTACTTAGTCCTGCCTCAGTGCAGGGAACTGGACTAGATGATGTCTCAAGGTCCTTCATTTCTATGATTCTGTAGGATTCTTCATAACAATTTTGCTTTCCTCAAGTTGTTTGGATCATATACGAGGGCAAAAATGACATAATGTATGTTGGTCACTATAAAATCAGACTTATCCTGTATTGGGCTTGTGTGGACTTGTCCCATACTTGCATATATACATTCTTTTTCTCAGCATGTAAGAAGAAAATGAAAGAGCTTCTGAGTCCTAGTAGTGAGAGGTCTACTTAAAATATCTATATTATATAAAATGTGTGTAAGTAAATGGTAAATATAATTTTATTTTAATTATTTATTTTTTTCTTAAAGGAAGACATCCAAGTGTTGTTGAAAACTTTCAGACATCAACATTAAGAGGTTTTATTGTAGATCTGAGTTTATGGAAGGATAGTATCTTTGAGTTATGGGTTTGTGCTCTTGGATTAGCAAAATTTGGATTCTTCATACCCTTTGTGCATATGGTAAGAATGTAGTTTCTATATTTTGATTAATGGACATATATATTTGTGATTTTTTAAAAAAATAAATTTCTGAAATTTCTACTGTTTACCTGTAGTTTAGAAAAGCAACAAGTTTATTGTCAAAAAAATAGAGACTGAATACTAATTAGTAAAGTTATGTATCAGTCAAGCTAACTTCATTAGAACAAACTTCTTCTGTAGTTGATGTTTAATGGCATTTTCATCTAAAATAGCAATATGTCACTTAAGGCAGTGGTTCTCAAAGCCGGTCTGCCACTTGTTCAGGGAAAGCCCCTGGCAGGCCAGGCCGGTTTGTTAACCTGCTGCATCCGCAGGTTCGGCTGATCGCGGCTCCCACTGGCTGCGGTTCGTGGCTCCCACTGGCTGCGGTTCACCGCTCCAGGCCAATGGCGGCAGCGGGAAGCGGCATGGGCCGAGGGATGTGCTGGCTGCCACTTCCC